CTCTCTCTCTCTCTCTGACAAATAAATAAACAAAATCTTTAAAAAAAAAAAAAAAAGAGAAGCTCAATATCCAAAATTTGATATGAAATCTCTTGAATTTTAAACACTGGCAACTAGTTACAAAAACATTTATTTAAATGACAAACAAACTAAACACATCTTCAGGCCCCTCTCTGGCAGGCAGGCTCTGGTTTTGAGCTTAAATGGAAATCTCGTCCCTGGGGGGCTTCCCCCGCCAGCCACATCCATGCCCACCCTGAGATGCTCACCCTGAGATACTCCCTTACTGGTCCCTCCAGTATGGGACACTTCACACTCCCCTGTGGGTGCTCAGCGAACCCCTGCTTCCAGACCCCATGGCTCCCCACTGTGAAGGTCATGCCTGGAGAACTTGACTCAGGTCCTTGCTGCAGTCCCTCCTCCCCATCCTCATTCTTGATCTTGATCTTGATCTTGATTTTGATCTTGAAGACTCAGAGGTAGGCCTTGCCCCAAACCACTGCTGTGCTATTGGGCTGATTTCAAAGCTTCCCACAGCCTGGCCTCCTCGCCCCCCCCCCCCCCCCCCACCCCGTGCATTGTTCCCACCAATCCACCTGGCAATACAACAGTTTTAGCCGCCCCCTCATCCCCCCTCAGAAGCCACCAGGATCTATGATCCATTGGTCCCATCCTGGGTTCTGGGTCCCTCACTCCTCCCCCCAACATCCACTCTGTGGCGCCCCCATCGTGATCACCCTTGCTCGACAGATTCTCTGGTGCATCGTCAACTCATGTGGGAGTCAGCACCCCCCACTCCAACTCCCTTGGCCACAGCCAGTGACCCCAGGTGGCAGAGAGACCACCTCGCTGTGCTAGTCCTGCAGAAATTCCTGCCACTAGCCTCTTTGGGTGGGAACATGGGGCTTTCCAGAAGCCCCACAGCCCTGCCCTGTGCAGCCTTGCCCCCTCTCTTGGGGATCTCTGGTTGCCCTTCTCCCTCCTCAGACCTCTAACCCCTTAGTGCCCGAGCTCCTGAGAAAGGAAACACTTGCCAGAGTCGTCCGTGACTCCCCCCACCACCGCCCCCACTCCAGACCTGTGTTCCCGCCTGCTGCCTGTGTTTCTGTAAATGGGTTCCCCACCCCCCCTTCCCACCCCCCAGCACTGAGTCCCACCCAGAAACCACAAGCCTCTTGTGAGCACAGAGGCCAGGACCCTCCTCTGCTCCAGCTCACTCTGGGACCCAGAAGGGTCCACACATCCAGCTTCAACACCTCTCTCTCCACCATCTCTCCCCCATCTCACTCTGCTCCAACCCCTTAAGTCTGCTAGTTCCTCGGCCGCACTCCCACCCAAGGCCTTTATCCTCCCCAGCCCCTCTGCTTTCCACCCGTGGAGCTGCATGGCTCTCTCTGTAGAAGATGCTACCTTCTACTGAGACCTCCTGGCCACTCTGCTTAATCTCTGCGCCCCAGACATGGGTGGTGGTGACGGCAGCCCGACCCCATGAATGCAGTCAGTGCCCCTGAGTTGTACCCCTAAAAATGGTGAAAATGGTAAGTGTTATGCTAAGTTATATTTTGCCACAAAAACAAATTGTACACTCCACTCCCAGCCCTGTTTGCCTACCTCGTGCTGAACTCCTCCATATTTTAGTTATTCTCTTCCTGCCATAGAAAGTCAACAAAATGAAGACAGGGGCTTGGATGTTCTGTCCACTAAGGTGTGCCTCCCAACACCTGACACAGTGCCTGGCACCTGCTAGAACAGTAGCTCTGTGTGTCAAGTGCCTGACACATGGCCTTCTACTTGAACGGTCACCAGGCAAAGGGGCGGGGAGTCGCCTCCAGAGTCGCTTCCAGAGTCGCCTCTACCCACCACCGCCCTCATTCCGATTTTGGTACACGCGCAGCCAAAGCAAGCCCTCCCCGCCACGCTCAACAGCTTAAATGCCACAGCCCCACAATCTCAGGCGGTGGCCGCCTCTCAAGGAAAGGCGTAGTCCCCAGAGCAACCACCAGAGGGCACCACCACCACAGCGCTGATCCTTCTGTGCCCACGTTCGGCTGCCAGGCGCACAGCTCCCACCTCTGTGCCAGAGTGAGGCCGCTGTGGCTTTGTGGATGGAAGGGCCCCCCAGCGACCCTGCCGCATCTCAGGCAGGACCCTGCACACAACAAGCAGCCCTTACCTCCCCCTTCCCTAGGGGAATCTGACCCCCTACCTGGCAGCTCGGCGCCCAGGGCACTTGCAGGTAGGGTGGCAGGGGAATTCAGCCCTCCCACCCCAATTGTCCACCACTCCAGAAGCCTGAAGAGATGGGCAGCATGCGGGTGCATGTGGGGACGGGGGGCTTAGGACTGGAGGCCGGGTAGCTACTCAGGCTGGTATCTGACATTGCCCAGGAGAAAGGTGGGGAATTGAGAGGCCCCCCACAGAGCCAAGAACGGTGACTGCCACCGTCCGACTACCCCATCCCTGGTCCCCACTTGGAGGGCAGCTCTCTGGTCTGTGCCCATCTGAGCTCCCCCTCCACAGGCAGCTTCCAGAATTGGAGGCTGGAGGCAAGAGGAGCCTGGATGGGATAGGTGGGCTGGGTAGCCAACCTCCTGGTGCTAGGTATGTTGTGTGTGCCCTGGGCCAGGTTCTGTCCTACTCAGTGGTGGCATTGGGCAAACAGAGCCCATCCCTGGCCTCAGCCTACTCATCTGTTAACTGAGTGTGCAGGGCAGGGGTGCCGGGGTGTTATCACATAGATTGCTCCTCCCATGGCCTGAGCCCCTGAGTATCCCAGAAGGAAGGCAAGTTCCAAAGGTGGATGTCAAAGGCCACCGTTGACCAGTCTGAGGCTGTCAGCTGGGGGCCTGACCCCACACCTACTCCTACCCCCCCGCCACTGGGTCCAAGACCAGTACTGCCTTTGCAGTAACATGTGTGAAGCTCGGCAGGCTGCTGTCCCTGGCTTCTGAGAACAGGCAGCCTGGGGAGGGGAGGAAAGCCTTGGAAAGGGGCCCTCCCACCCTCCCTCCTATTGGGGAAAGAGGGGGGGGCCCACTGGTCCCCACACACAGCCTTTAGGAAGGAGGGTATTAGGCTTCAGGGTTTGAACCCCCAGAGCAACCATGGCTGAGAACCTGAGAGCCTGGCCACTTCACTCCCCTTTCCCTCTGGGTGCCTGCCCGCACCCTCCCACCACCCACCCCCCATGTCGGGAACCTCCTGGTCCATCCCTGTGCAGCAGGAGATGGAGAGTGGGATGGGGGCTTTGGGAGGATTTGGCAAGCCCTGAGTCCATCACCAAGACCAATTCAGGTTCCCTGCTTATACCCTTGGCCCCCAGGGGGACTAACAGCTGTGGGACTCATCCTACTGTTCTGTTCGGGGTCCCGTGGCTTAGCTCTGAATAGTGGAGTCACACCCAAGCGCCTAACTCTGCTCTGTCGCTTCCCTGCTGAAGGAATGAGGCAAGAGGCCAGCCCTCTCCGAACTTAGATCCCCACCTATACAATGAGGCAGATAACAGGCGACTGTCCGGAGACTCCTGGGAAAGCGGATAGAAGGCACAGGACAAACATCACCACCTGCTGAAGTGCGAACAGGAGGCTGAGTTCGGCTTTGGGTCCTGCTCTTCAGTGCGGGTGGGAGCATTTCAGACCCGAGTGGATGCTAGTAGGTCTCTCTCTCGGCTCCCCCAGCCATGAGCACGCCCCAGCCCCCCTGCCCCTGGGAAGGGCGGCACCACGCACACCTCGGACTGGGTAGATTCACGCTGGTCTTTTATTGGCTTTTCCATGGCAGCCTGGATACCTCAAGCTGCTCCCCCCTCCTCAGCCCTGCAGCACCTTCCTGGCTTCCACTCTGGGGACCTCGCCGGGAGCGGCCAGCTGGGCACTGTCTTCTCCCAAGTCCCGTCCAACAACTGGGGCCCCACGCTCGGGCTGCTTCCTTGAGACAAACCTGGGTTTCCCACGGCCTCCCCTTTGGTGCCGGGCTCCCTAAGGTGCATTCCTGCCTTGGGCACAGCCCAGCTCTCCCGGGGACTAGGCTCCAGCCCAGACCCCAGGCAGTGCCTCCCTGGCTCAGGCCCCTTCAGACCCTGCACAGCACAGTGCAGCACTGCGGCCTCCGACCTAAAGCTTGGTGTTGAGATGGAAGAAGTGGGGTGCCGCGTAGGTTGTGGCAGGAGGCACGTGCCATGTGGACGAGGCCGGGCAAAGTCTGTGGCGGAAGGCGCTGTCGAAGGACGCTGGGGGAAAGTGCATCAGACCCGTGGCCATGGGTGAGGGCGCTGTCGTGGCCAGGAAGTGGGCCGGGAAGGCAGGGATGACCAAGGGGCTGAAGGGGAGTGTGGCCTGGCCCTTTAAGTGGTCCGGGGTGCCGGCAAAGTTCAGCGGGCATCGCAGCATGCTGCCCCTATAGGCCTCGGGAAGGGCAGGCCCCAGCGTGGGGCCCAGCAGGCAGGATACGGCCAAGCCAGACCCCACCGATTTGGCCCCACACTCCTTGGCATCCATCTCCTTAAGAAAGGGAGACACGGCCCGCAGTTTTTTGCCACCAGGGGAAAACCCCTCTTCTTCCAGGCTACGCTTGTTGCTCAGGCCTGTGCTGCTAGGGAAGGCAGAGAGGGAAGCAGGGCTCTCAGCAGGTACCTTAGCCATGGGGGACACCCAGCAGGCTTTGGGCTTGGGGTAGGGGCTGCCCTTCCTAGAGCTGCCTTTCTGGAATGCAGATGGGCGGTTGGCGTCCCCGCCCCATACCAGCTGGGACTCCTTGACCGCCAGGCCCTCCTCTTTGCCAGGAGGCCCCAAAAGGACCCCATCTTTAAAACTGGGGAAGAAGTCCCGAGGGTGCTGGCTGACAGGCTTCAGCACCTCAGTGGGGTACGCATGGAAACAGCCAGTGAAGATGGGGGCTGGCAGGTGGGGACCTGCCGGAGCCTCCTCCCTAAGGCTGCCACCAGGGGCCTGTAATCCCTCCTGAGGGCTCAGCCGGTGCCTGGAGTTCTCAGCTGGCTTTCCTGGGTGCTGTGGACTTTCCGAGAGGAGAACAGCTGCGGAGGCCTGGGGGTCCCTGTTAGGGCTGCTGGCCCCATGGCGACAGCCCTCCTCCTGGCACTGCAAGGCCTCTGCCTTGCTCACCTGGGCCAGGAGTTTCTTTTTGGCCAGTGGTGACATGATGCCATGTGTTCCTTTGCAGTAGAAGCTGGACAGGAGCCGCTTGTAGGCCTCAGGGCAGCCGCTGGTGCCCGTGAACGGTAAAGAGGGCCCCAGGGCCGGGCCTGGCTGTTCTGGGCCCTCCCTGGGGGGTTCCTGGCTGGGAAGCTGTGCCAGGTCAGGGGCGGCATCGGTTTTTGTCTTTCTAGGCACCATCTAGAAGGAGAAAAGGCCATGTCTCAGGGTTAGGTGTGAGGCAAATATCGTGACCTGGGGACCTCGTGGCAGCTAGGGGCATACCCAAGAGCCTCTGTTCGCCCTTCCAGCACCTTTGTGAGAAGTTTCCCAAAGGTATTCTGTCCTCTGAACAGACACAGCCTGGTATCAGGACACAGGGCCTAGTGACTGAGGTGCAGACTGGAGTTCAGACAGGACATGGCCCCCCACAGATCTGCCTTCAGAGCAGGTTCTGGGTTTCCTGGGCAGGGAGCTCTGCAGCCATGGTGTGGGCAGGGACAGTGAGGCCCAGGGTCCGCTGGTGGCTCGAGGCAGGCTCAGAGCTTACCTGGTCTAACCGTTTCTCCTCCTTGGCCTTCTTCAGCTTCTCAGGGGCCCCGTCATCGCCCCGGGGCTCCTTGGCCATCTTGTACTGCTTCCTGGGCTTGGAAGGGGGCAGCGGCTTGTCGTCCTCCCCCTTCAGATGCCGCACATATGGGAGCACCAGCCTGAGGAGGAGGACAGCGTGTCCACCAGGAGGCCGGCCCATGCCACACCGTTCCCACTGTCTAGGCCCCCTGGCCTCCCCACACCGTCAACCCCTGGGGCCCATGCTCTTCCTCATCTGGGCTGGGATGAACACAGCGCACACTGCTCTGGTGGTCCGTGGTGTGTCCACACCACACCCCACTCCTCGCCCTGCTGCAGTTGTGCCCCGCTCCATGGTGCCAGCCAAGGTTACCGCCAGGGTCTCCAGCCAGCCGTACCTCTCGTAGTGGCGGCGTGTGCATGTGGCCGCGCTCGTGCTGCCCGGGCTGCCCCCCAGCTCGTCGTACACGTTCTTCCAGAGGCGGCGGCCCGTCACCTGCAAGGGCACCACGTGAGGCCACGACCGGCACACACTCCCCTGGCAGTGGGGCGTCCTGGCAGCTCCAGACCCCCGCTTGGCAGGGATGGGGGCAAGGACTGCAGTTTTGCAGTTACTTCTCCAGCAGCGGCAGTGGGGCGGGGGAGCTCCCCTGGCCGCTAGCCAGTTCTCCCCCCTAGGGCCCGCTACCTGACTGCCAGCTAAGCAGCTTTCCCGGCACTGGGGGCGGGGTGGGGGGTGCGGGGGGCGGGTGGGAGGTTGCAGGAGGAAGACAGAACAGACGGGAAGACAGGAAAACTTGCTTTGAGCAGCAAAGTACCAGTACAAGGCAGGCCCTCTTCCCCACAGCATGCGGGACAGCTGCGGAAGGGGCAGGGTTTGGGGCCCTGCCTCTTCCTCCTATCTGGCCATGAGGACAGCTCTGTCCCCAGACCAGGCTCTTCCTCCTCAGGTCCCCACAGGGTCCAGGGGGAACAGGGTGCAGGATGCCACATGCTGAGGACTCAGAGGTACCCTCCTTACCATCTCATAGGCCCCCAGCTTCTCCACTGCTTTGTAGATTTTCCACAGGTTAACTGGAGAAGAGAGAGGGCAGGGCCCTGTCAGTCTCCATGGGAGGAAGGGGTAGCCAGCGGCCCATTCCCCTGGACCTGTCAGGGGGGCACAGAACCAGCACACGCCCAGACAGGGTCAATGCAATGGATGGCTGGGCTAGGCCCTGAGTGCTGGGGGCCCGGTGGCCGGTGAGGACAGAAATCCGGCCCCACCCACTGCAGCCCTGCTCCTGGAGGGGGGCGCCCTTTCTGTGTGCGACCCCTGTGGGCTGGCATCACCCGGGGCTGCCCAGAGTGGGGGTGCCTGCCCGACACCCTGCCTGGATGGGATCCCCTACCGGGCTCCCCCTCCCTGCCTGCACCCCAGGGACGCACTCTGCTTGAAGCCGAGATGGGGCACCCTCTCGATGGGCGTGTGTCGCTCCTTCATGAACTTGTAGAGGCTGACCAGGAAGGCCTGCTCCTCCTCCCGCTCCTGGTCCTCCTCCCGCTCCCCGCCTGCCTCGGGGGAGTCCTGGAAAGAACAGGAGGCATTGGGATGAGCCCCCAGTTGGTGGGTGGCTGGGGATAGGCGGAACCACCAGCTGCTGGGGAGGAAGGAGTGGTGTGGCCCCCAACCCCAGCCTCCTGCTGGAGGAAGCAGGCCCCCAGGTGCCCAGCTCACAGCTCTGGGCTAGAGCGTCTGTTTCTGGCATCAGAAAGGTGCGTCTGTCAGCTGTTAGTGCCCAGGACCCCGGGTCACAGTCCACAGGGGCCAGGCTCCAGAGACGGCCAGAGGAGCAGCCCTGCCGCTTCTCCGGCTCTCTAGGCACAGACCACTTCTCTGTCGCGCTCTGGATTTGTTCTGTCTGCACCTCGGCTCCTCTACCGGACTGTGAGCTCCTGGTGGCAGGCTCCTGGGGACCTCTGTGGTCAAAGCCAAAGGAATGAAGTGCCTGGTGTTTTCTGGCACTGCAGGGTCCTGTGTCCACCGAGCCTTTGCCGTGGCGGCCTGCCTCTCTGAGCCGCCGGTCTGCTGGCAAAGCCCTGTCCTGGGGTCCTGACAGCCCTCTGTCAGGTGCACCAGACTGTCGGTTTCTGCTTCCAGAGGGACAATTTCTGCTGAGGCTTTTCATTTGTTGGTGGCTCAGGGCAGAAGGGTACAGTTGGGCTGGGGCTCGGGGCTTGGAGAACAGACAGCTCTCAGGTCCTGGATGGGGATGCCCCAAACACCAGAAGCAGGTAAATCATCTGGGCGGGAAACAGTCCAGAGAGCTGTGCGTTTCCAAGATGCTCAAGCACCACGGTACTGTTTCTGACCCCTGATAAATGGATCACGAACTCACGTGTCACCTAAGAAACTGTAACGTACTAGGGACCCTGAGAGCTGGTCTGGTGCAGGCCTCAGAAGGAAGACCCTCTCTCGGCCGCTCTTCCCATGAACCTGCTCTTCCATGCAAGCTGTTAAGAGCTGTTAACGTTTCCAACTACTCTTCCGTATGGATCAGGATTTCACTCCAGACTGTGCCACCAGAGCAAAAGGCTGGAAGGAGTGGGTGCTGAGGCCAGCGCTCCACAATGTGCCCCGTGGCTCCCTCTCAGACCACACTCACCAAAATAGCCTCAGTGGTCTCACTGAGTGACTTTGATATCCACGCTGTGAACTTGGAGGGAGGCATGGGTGTACGTGTGGTTTGTCCTAAAACTGTGCTTTTATCTGCTTTATTCATCAGGGTTCTGGGCAAATCACTTGCTAAGAGGGTTCTGCTAGGACAACTAAGTCTAAAACCCCTGCCACGGGTGACGGGTGGGTCCTGTGTCCCTGGCTCCCAGCTCCCACAGCGCCTGATGGAGGCTGGAAACCGCAGGGCCGGGCCCCACTCCTGGCTCTGCCGGCTGGAGGGTTGGGAATACACCCTCCTGAGAGCCTGGGGAGTCCCCAGGTTCACCTGGGAGGCTGTGCACAGTGGAGGGAGAGGGCAGGGAAGAGGTTCCCCAGGGGTCACCCCCCAACTCACCTCCACATGGACGGGGCTCTGGCTCCTGCTCTGCTCACCATGGGGTTGAGGGGACACAGATGGGTCAAGGGATTCACCCTCCTCTGACTGTTTCTTTTTCCCTTTGACAGGAGGTGCTGCAAGGAGAGAAGCAGAGGGGGGGTGGAGAGAGCACTTGAGGCACAGGCTGAAGAGCAGGCAGTGAGGAGCGGTCCTCCAGGAGAGACGGCAGGTCCTCCCACCCCCACTGAACCCGGCAGGTGGGAAGCCGTGTGTCCTCTGCCCCCTGGGCCCTGACTGCACGCAGGCTGGCTCTCCGCACGCGCCTATGGGGTCACCCTGGAGGCCCACGCTGCTTGGCTTACCCTCAACTGGGCCCCAAGCCTGCTGCTGTTCCCTCCTCTGTTCCGGCCAGCCCCTCATATCTTTGAAGAAAAGACCACCTAAACCACCCCAGAGGCAAGTCAGAGGAGGGTAAGGTTGGGGCTGCGGCGCTCAGGGAAATCCTGTCTCAAAAGCCACCCCACACTCAGGCGGAGTTTCCACAGCCCCGTGGGTGAGCTGGGAAGTTGCTGAGGCTCCCACATTCGGGAGTCCAGAAGCACCACGGCGGGTGCTGGATCCTCCAGGAGGAATCAGAAGACTAGAAGCTCCTGTTTATGAAATATCGGACCTTTTCACGCACACCTGCAGAGTCCTAAGTGCTCCTAATTAGGAAACTTGCTCCTCTCACCTGCAAGGGTCTGGTAACCCTCCAGGTCTCACCCAACAAGCCACTTTCTCTGGGCAGCCTCCCTCAGCCCCCAGCCAAGCACAGCGCTCCTGCTTCTCGTGACCCTTGTGGCGATTCGCAGCCACTGGGACCCACTGCCCACCACCCGTCAGGCTTTCTGAAGGTTCAGTGAGCGCCCCCCCCGTACCCCGCACAGTTTGGGTGCCAGGTTTCAGGGAGCAGGCGTGAGTCTCACAACCTGCACCGGGGTGGGGCTGGATTTTACTAAGGGCAGCCATGAGCTGATAGCTGCAGAAACTTCCAGAAACCCCTGGAATGCTTGAACCGGCCTCAGGCCCACTGACAGGTCGCAGGGCACCTGTGCTCAGGAGCCCAGGTCGTTAGATCACCCTTTCTTTCCTTCTAACTCGCCTTTCCTTCTTGTTAGCCTACTGTGAGCTATCCCATTCTCTGGGTTTGTTCCCACTCGGGAAATCCCTCCTGCTGGGCACCTGTGACAGTCCCCTCTGGTCCTAGAGAGAGAATCTCCTAACAATAAACCCAGACCCGTGTGACCCATGTGGCCAGAACGGGCGGGTGACTCTTCACTCATGCCGTGTGGGTCCCTGGCTCCGCATGTATGTTTTCTTCTTCTGAAGCCAGAGAGGCCAAGTCGCCTGTCTCCCGAGGAGACCCAGGCTCAAAACGAGGTCTCTCTGAGCACCAACCCAAGTGGCCTGGCCGCCACTGCGGCTGCTGTCGTTACCACCAGGATCTGCGGAGCCTTGATGAAGAGTCCAAATAAGCCTGGGGGAGAAACCCACGCCAAGGCAATCGGCCTTCCTCTCAGGCTGGCTTCTGATCAATCGAGACATGATCAATATCCCAAAATAACAGGGTGTTAACAACTGAACCCCCCCACCCCCGGCCAGCAGGCTGATCCCTTTCCTACTGCGTTCTTGGGTGACTCTGTGCCTCAGTCTTCCCTTCTGTGAAATGGGAGAGAACGACCTTGAGTCCTTTGCTCACTGTCCTCCAACTGGTGAAGTCTCCCACGTCAGTGGCGGACCCACTTCCACCAGCTCCTCTCCTTGCTCTCCCTGCCCCCTCTGCCTGTTTTCACACCCTCTCTGCCTTCTTTCCCGCTGGTCCAGCTTCTCGGCATCAAAGGACTCTCTCCACCCTGAGTCCCTCCCTGTGGTGTTACTGCGGCTTCTCACTGGAGCCTGCCTGCACACTTGCTCCGGGCCCCTGGCAAGTCGCTGCCCTCGACCTCCGAAGACTAAGGTGGTAGGACCAGGGCCCGTTAGAATCACGAGGGAGGGGGTACCTGGGTGGCTCAGTGGGTTAAAGCCTCTGCCTTCAGCTCAGGTCATGATCTCAGGGTCCTGGGATCGAGCCCCACATCGGGCTCTCTGCTCAGCAGGGAGCCTGCTTCCCTCTCTCTCTCTCTCTGCCTGCCTCTCTGCCTACTTGTGATCTCTCTCTCTCTGTCAAATAAATAAAATCTTAAAAAAAAAAAAAAAGAATCACGAGGGAGCGCTTTGAGACTCTGATGACTGTGTTCCCCTACTCCCCAGCCCCAGTCTGATTTAAGTTTCTGTGAGGAGCATCAGAGTTTAAGGCTCCCTGAGGATCTCAAAGGGTGAGCCAGTTTGAGAGCCACGGGGCCCGAGGACCTCTGTCCCTTCTGCCTGGTTCCAGAGTTGGTGAGCTCTGGCTGGGCCACACTGAGGGAAACCTCCTGGAGTCGGGCACTCGGGTTACCTGGAAAGGAGGTCACCAATCTGAGCTGTTTAACCCCAGACAGGAAAGGACCAGAGCTCTTGCCTAGAGCCACAAAGGGAAATGCTCTCTTTATCTTGGTGTCCAGCTGAGTCCCCAAATGAACTCAGCCTCCCTTCTCTCCCAACCAGGCTAGCTAGCAATGCTCTCTGTCCTAGCAGGGCCTTCTGGGCCTCCACCTGCATAGCCTTAGCTGAGGGAGAGCCCCCTCTTTCTCTGGGAAGCCCTCTGTCCTGTGCCTGGCTCCCTACACCCTCCTTTCCCCAGTCATGTAGACCAGGGTTCCTGCTAATCTTCATTTGGAAAAGGGGTCTGCTAGGAAAGCTAAGTCTGAGACCCCTGCCACAAGTGACAGACTGGTCCCCCGTCTACCTGCCAGGCTCCCAGCTCCCCCACCATCCAGTGCAGCTGACACAGGGCTGGGCTGCTTTCCTGGCTCTGCAGGGGAAGGAAGGGGCTTGGGGACCAGAAATCCTAGGTTCCCAGCCACATCCAGCCTGCAGAGGCAGGACAGTCCCACTTGCTCCTGAATGACTGCTGCTGCCAGGGGCCACTGAGTTCCTGTCCCTCTCTCACCACAAAGCCTCAAATGTAAAGGGGAGGTGGATCCACTCTGCGAGAAGAAAACCTCTGCTTGCCAAAGAACTGTCATTCAGACATGACTTTTTCCATCTAGGAAGCAATAATGACAATAATGGTGATTATTATTTCATGTTTACTTTGAACACATCTGGGACCTATAAGGTGTGAGATCGGGATCTAATCCTATTTCCCCTCAACGGTTAGGTGGTCCCAATACAGACCGAGTGATGCCCTTCCCCCAGCGATCTGAAATGCTACTCTCCCCGTAACCTAAAGGCTGAGAAGGAACACATCTGAAACTGTTTCTGGATTTTTCTGTTCTATTTCATTTACTGTGGCATGCCGGCACTGGTGCACACTGTTTTAATTGTAAAACAGCTTACTATCCAGAGGGCAAGTCCCCCATCATTAGTCTTTTTAAATCATTTTTTTCTGAACTTCAGGATAGTTTTATCACATTCCTTTAAAAAAGAAAACAAACCACTGGGGTTTTGGTTGAATTGCATTTAAATTTAGCAATCACTTTGAAGAGAAGTAACACCTTTCCGATGCAGCATCTTCGGGACCGCAGGTCTCCCAGATTCAGGCTTCCCCCTGCTGTCCTCAGATATTCCTGCTTAAAGGCCCTGTGTTTCCCATTAAGCTTATTCCTCAGGTTTTGGGCAGCTAGATAATAGTGTGAGAAAAGCTTTGTAACCTACAGTAGAACTTCGCTCTACAGCCACCGCTATTCCCTCCTGTCACTGCTGGAAAGAGGACGGGGGCTGCTGGTTGGGCCAGGATAGGAGCCCCTGGCCCCTGGTGACCCAGTGCCTCACTGGGCAGTGAGTAGGGGTGGCCAAGTGCTGGGCAGGGGGATTGCCCAAGGCCCTTCTGGCACTGCGAACTTGATTTCTGTTTAACTCCATGGCCTGTGTTGAAGTCAAGCTTAACCCCCAGGTCTGAGTGCTCACTTCAGCAGCACATATACTAAAACCCCCAGGTCCAAAGGTCACAGCAGTGAAGAGGTTGGTTTAAGTCACTAAGTCCAAGGAGGCTGCTTCCTGAAGGCTGCTTGTTCTCAAGCGATTCCCTATTTCTCTCTCCGCACTATATACACTCCACCAACTCCAACCAGTGCTCCTGGTGGGCCCTGGACTAGGCATTTTGGGACATTGCTTCACTGACTCTAGCCACCCAATGGATACTATCTCCCCCCTTTTACAGATACAGCACACAAGGATCCCAGAGGTTCAATAACTCGCCTGAGGTCATGCAGCTTCCTAGTAACAAAGCTGGGATTGAACCAGAACCAGAGCAATCTGTCCCAGGGCTCCGAACCCTGCAATCTAGGGTTTTTAACAGAAGCAGGGGTTCCCCAATCTCCCATCTCACCACTCCTGTTAATCTGCTGAAAAGAGTCTGCCTCTACTGACAAGCTAAAATCAGGCAGGAGCGGGACAGAAGCGCGGGGAAGGGACTCTGACTCCGGAGAGGAGCTCCTCCCACCAAGTCAGCCTCTGCTTCAGGGGGTGTGCCAGACCCCCATGCATCTGATGTTCTAAGCAGAACAAAGTGAGAAACAAGGCTTCCCACACAAACAACAGCCAAGCGTGTGCTTGTGTACACAGACCTCCCCCCTGTGTGTACACACCCCCCACAGGGAGATCGGAGGTCTGTGCGTCCTGCTCACTCCCCTCTGTGTGTCACTGTCCAGAGCATGTGGGGCCAGGAGCAGGTGCTCCATAAACAGCCGCAGGGGTGCAGTATGAGCTACTGGATCTCAGATGCTTCTGGTGCAGAGAGGGGCTTGGGCTATGACTAGTTCAAGGCCATACAGTCTGTCAGAGACCTAGTGCCAGACCCCACCACCTACCACCTATATCTCCTCTCTCTTATCCTCCCCCACTTCCCTCTTCCCCCTCCATATCTCTCTCTCTCTCTCTCCTCTCTCTTCTCTCTCTCTCTCTCTCTGCCTGCCCTGCCCCGCCCCATTCACCCTTGGTGTAATGGGAAGGAAGCAACACTTCCTTTCATGAAAAGTCACCCACTGGGAGCACTGCGTCAATTACAACAATAATGGTAACAGGCGTCTCAATAACAACCAGCAGAAACCGCCCCACCTCTCCCGAGGTTGTTGGCTTAAGTTTCTCTTAGTTGAGCTGGAGCTAAAACAAAGACGACCTTTGAGGCAGCCCGTCCACTCCGTGGCCCAGAAGCCCGGCTGCCTGGCGGAGTCTTGGTGCGGAGCTCTCACCAGTGGGCAGTGTGGGGAGGGAGCAGCTGCCAAGGGCTGTGCTCCAGCCAGCACTGAGGATAGCTGAGCTGGACATGGGACCCCTGAAGGCACAGGGTACAGCTTCTGCCCGGCTCTGCCTCAGTGTCTCAGCCAGGGCCTGGGGGAAACAGGGTTTGAGAGCAGAGGGGCCAAGATGACAGTCTTGAGAGAAATATAGAAAGGCAGGGGACACGAGGGCTCCAAATATGACTATCAACTCCTAACCCCACTGGGACGCCTGTCCCCCTTTTGCCAGCTCTGGTATGTCCTTAAAGACCCTATTCGGGACTAGGCTGACTCCTCACTGTCGCGCCTCTCCAGGCCTGGGAGGTAGCTGATAATAGTAGCAGTTCCTCCTAAGGATGGTTTCCTATGTCCCCATGAACTATATTTCCTGTTCCCATTCCACCTATGGAGAAACCAGCCTCTATGACTTGTCCAAGACATGGCCCAAGAGTAGAGACATGGCCAGGATGGGAGGAAGGCTGCCTAACTCCTGCCTGGGGCACTCCATGGCCTATTGCTTTTCCATCCCCCACCCCCCACTCAGAGACCCCAGGGGCCTAACAGGGTGTGGGCAGTACCTGGTCAGTTTACCACCATGTAAAAGGAAGGCAAGAGGGAGGGGAGAGGTGTTGGAGGACTGCCTCTCCAGACCTCACTCTAAGCCTCAGTTTCTCTGACTGGATGTCAAAGAAAGAGGGCCTGATCTTCTGAGGTCCTTTCTACCTCTCCTCTGCCACTCCAGAGTTCTAGCCCCAGGTGGGTGCCCAGGGTTCCAGTGGAGTCTGGAACTCGGTGGGGCGGGGGGGGGGGGGGGGGGGGGGGGGGGGGGGCGGCAGACTCTCTAGCCACTACCTCCCATTCCTCCTTTGCCCCGGCAGGCATCTGGGCGCAGAGATGCTGACGCCCCCAATAGTGGTCCTTCGGAGGGGGCGAGAAGCACCTGTTGGCCTCCCCTCGGCCCGCACACTCCTCCCAGCTGGCTAACCACCGGGCAAACAAAGGGCCGCTGGGCCTGGCCAGCGCAGTGACCCCAGACCTGCACCATGAGCCCTCGCAGTCTGGAAGGCTGGAAGTCTGGAAGGCTCCACCACCCGCCCCCCCTCAACGTCGGCGGGGCTGGGGGGACTTGAACCCCGCTTGAGGGCGCCCCCGGGACACTCTGTGGGAGGGACCGAGATACGGCCACTCCGCAGCTCCGCCAGAGCGCGAAGCCAAACATCTCTCCTCGCACGTTCG